ATTTTTAATACAGTTGACACTAAGATACATATGCGTTTCTAATCTCTATGTATCTGATTATTACTAGTCACAGTCAGTTACACTCAGATCCTTGGCACCAGAGTATGGATGTAAAGTCATCAGGTAGATTTCACTGGTAATGTTTATCACTTCTACAAATTAACATCAAGTAAATTTTTATACTTTCTCCTCAAATATAAGTCTCCCTTAGTTTGTTGATTTTTTTTGTATGCCGTACAGAACATCCCATACAATCTTATTCATCAATATACCCACTTCCCAGATGGCACCCTCCCATAGCACCCCCCACCACTGGAGCCCATATACTTTATCATCCCTGCTACTGTTGACCATGTTCTCAGCACCTCCAGCTGTTCCCCAATGCTTGTCCCTCTGCTGAATCTTGTTTTAGGAAGATCAGCCGTTCCTCATCTAGCAGCAATCAGTTGTCAGTATTCCTTTAGATAAGATTGGGCTCTACTGTTCATTTTCCCAGTTCTATGCTGGGTTACTGTCTAGGGGTCTTTTGGGCCACCAGGTATCTCCTGTCTGGCATTGTTCTTCCTTGTTATATAGTTTTAGCTATAAATACGGACTCTTAAAAATTTATATTGACCCCATTAATCTTTCATTATACTTTCCTTTTGAGTGTTTAAGACCCTACAATTGGCCCAGATAAACCAATTTATTTTTACTCCTAAGGCCGTTTGAGGATCTGTTCCTCAGGGGTCACATGGGCTTGGGAGGAGCTCCTGGCTCCTTTCTTTTACCAGTTCTGCCTATGTGAAGGTAAGTCAAAGGTCCTGCTCGACCATGGCTGGTTTCACTTGGAAGCATAGAGGAATTATCCCTCTGTGTTGACCCTCCTCTTTGTAGACTGGACACTGGTTCAAGTCCATCTGGCAGGATCTCCTTCGCCTTCTTGATCAAGAGGACAGGTGACTCACCACAATTGCAGGACATTTTGAGAGATGCTCATAGTCCCCTGGAAACTAGTTGACCTAGGTGGGCAAGGAGCAAAAACTGTCCTTTATGTCCCTCTGAACAAATTAGTATAGGCCTCAAAGTATATCTGTTAAACATCCAAGAAGGTTATTTCACTAAATCTAGGGCAAAGACCAATTGTTATCTGATAAACCTTACCTAGACATATATTTCTTGATCTGCCATGTATAATTTGTCAGTAGGTTGTAGGAGTAATATGGTTCCCTCTGGTTTTCAAAATTAGCTAGGCATTATTTATCTCTTGCATTGCCTTACCCCCTTTTCTTTGGGATCTTTTTACCCTAACTGCCTAGCCAATTCTTACATCCTAGTCTTATCACATCATCCTCTGAAGAAGTTACCAAAACTGCCAATAGGGAATAGAGACACAGACTGCTCTGGCTTCTGTGCTGAACAGGGACACAGGGTGAAGCAACTGGAGTACCCCTTCAGTGGGTCTATCTAAAAGGCTCCCAAATTGCATAACTCTTATCTCTAGGGGGAAAAGAAGGTCCTTGAATCGTGAATAGGAGATGTGAAGGAGAAGTAAAGGCAAGAGTAATTAGCATTACAAGTTCTAGACAGGGAACTAGAAAAAAGTCAGAACAGGGCAATTTTCAAATGTTCATATGAGAGTCCACTGGAATTTCTTGACAAGAGCTTCCAAAAGCATCCCTCTATTGGGTTCCTCATTTTTCTTTTGTCTTCCAAGGCTGGACTCTAGAGTGATGGATTCAGGATTTGCTTTCGGGTGTTTTGATAGCTGTTGCAGTGGTTCGAATCAGTGTCAGATCCCTCTCAAAGGTTTCTAGACATGGGGAGAAAACAAATGTGAGACCCCAAAACTATGTAATTACTAAAAGGAAAAAACAAAACCCAAACAAAACTAAAAACAACAAACAACAACATAGAGAAAGTACTTTAGGACACCGGGCAATTTTTAAAGATAAATATGACCTCAAAAGCATAGACAACAAAAGAAAAATCAACATAGTGGGATCCCATCAAACTGAAAACCATCCTGCAAAGGAAACAACTGGCAAGGAAGCAGCAGCACGAGGAGCAGAAGAGAATGCTTGAAAGCCATTTATTTGAAAAGGATTAATTTCCAGAACATATAAGGAATTCAGCAGCAGACCAACAAGAACAACAAAACCAAAGAATCTGATTAGAAAATGGGCAAGCGAGAAAATAACTTTTCTCAAAAGATAAACAAATGAACAATTCCATAGAAAAGTGCTGAACGTCACGAATCTTCGGGGAAATGCAGATAAAAACCTCAAGATAGTGTCTCATGCTAGTTAGAATGATTATTAACGGAAAGGCAAAAATAAGAAATCTGGGCTAGGGTCCAGAGAAAGGGGAGCTCCCGTGCACTGTTGGTGAGAACGGAATGAGTGCAGTGGTCACAGAAGATCACGTGATTCCTCAGAACCCTAGAAGGAGGGGCCGAGAGCCAGCTCAGCAGCTAACAGCACTCGCTCCTCTTGCAGAGGACCCAGGTTCAATTTCCAACAGCCACAAGGCAGCTAACAACTGTCTGAAACTCCAGTTCCAGGGAGATCTGACACCCTCTTCAGGCCTCCACAGGCATTGCACAACACGGGTGCACTTTCACTCAGGTAAACACTCATACATATAAAATAAAAAATAAAAAGATACTAGAGG